ATTAAAAAAAAAACACTCACTTTCTCCTCGATGATTTTTATTTCTTATGTCTATCTCTCTCCTAAAATGACATAACTTATGACCTTTAAAATGACAAACATCAAACCCTATTTGTATATATATTACTTTTCTTCAACTGCTTGACGTCCAGTAAATAAATTCAGGGAATCATAATCATACAAAAATGGGTGAAAATGTTAAATGCGAGGAATTATAACCAACTAACAGTGTAAAATTTATTTCTAGATGTCCAATAGCCGGAAAAATGATTTTACCATATACCACATAATTATTTATACACACACAAAGTAAAATAAATAAAACACACACAGGAAAAGTACATAGAAACATGCTAGTGATAGAAAAATAAAGTCTCACATAGTATTAACAGACAAACTTTGCTATTCACTGGTGAAGGTGATATATAGACTGGGAGCTTAATGACGAGTTAGAATCTTTCAGACATATGCCCTTAGATTGTACTCCTTTTATTAGCGGGAGACAATAGAAAAATTAAATTATGAATGGTTAGCACCTAAAAATCACATCGAGATTAACCACTTTTATTTTCTTGCTAATTAAAATTGATATCAATCAAAATTCAAATCCGAATCAAGTATCAATGTGATCATCAGATATTAAGATTAATTCATTTCTTTTACACAAACATTCTTTTTTGGATGAGGTGATCCTGAGTCCTGACCACATGCTCATAAGGAATGAGGTATCATGATAGCATCCGCGCATTTGATACAACAAATCTCGAAATGATTTTTAGTGTGCTATCTCGTATCTTATACTTTTATCATCTAGCTGTACCTAATATCTATCTGTTTTACTTTTTATTTTGAAAAAAAAACTACATATCATTATGAAACTACAAACAAATGTTTTTTAATTAGATGAAAATACAAATTGTACACTTTTTTAAAAAACACATCGCGTCATATATGAGTTTTGGAATAAAATTAAAGTATAAATGCGTAAAAATTAAAATAAAATATACAATGATATTGAAGATGATTAGGTAAGATAGAGAAAAAAAAGTAGGTAAAATATCATATCTTTTAATGCCTATTTGAGAGGTCTTTTTTTTTTTAATTTCTCTTCTTTTTATAAGTAGAAGCTAGGTGAAACAAATTTTTATAAAAGCTCTTATATTAAAAAGAGTTTTTTTTATAATGAAGAAAAAAATCAAAAACCAAAAATTTTTAAAAGGAACTTTTTTTCAGTTGTATTAGTTGTTTTTTTTTTAAATGTGTGTTTTTTTGAATTGAATAACTTTTAAGCTAAAAATATAATATAATTATCAAATAATTTATAGCTTTATTTGTATTTTATTTTTTAGTTTTAGTTTAAAAATAGATTTCAACTTAAAAACAAAAAAAAAGGTGAAGCGAGCTTTTAGTTATACCTTTTTTTGTTTTTCGAGTTCAACCTCCTCTTAAGTCCTACCCTCTCTACAAGTTTACAATTTATGGAAGTTGGCTTTCCAAGTAATGACCTTATTACTCTAATGTGCGGTTCTGGATACTATATGTTTTAAGGGTTTCGGTTTTATATACGGTACTGGATAAGTATTTCATGTTATAAATATATTTTGTGCGTGTTCCACGTCTATTATATATATAAAAAATACTACACAAAAATTAAAGGATCACTCGTAGGAAAAAATAACTCTCCTACAATACAAAAGTTATTTTCCCCATGTTTTAAATATAAAATAAGGGGTTCAATTTTTTCACGTTATCGAAGATAAACATTTCCTATTATAGATATATGATGTTGTGGGACCTATCACCTATTTAAAAAAAGAAAAAAAGGGATGACACTATTTTTGATGTAAGAGTGACATTATGTGCCTGTTTGGATCCTCTCTTTTTTTAAGCTAGAAGCTACTTATAAGCATAAGTTAGGCAAAATAGGTTTTGAGAAAAGCTCTTATAATGAAAAGCTCTTCTTTTTATAATGAAGAAAAAAGCTGAAAACTAAAAGCTCCTAGGAGGAGCTTTTTTTTAAGATCTTATTTGTTTTTCTTGAATTGTGTGTTTTTTTAAAATGAAGAGTGATAAAGATGGAGAGAGAGATAATTTTATGGAAATATGTGTTTTTAAGTAATTTTTAAGCTAAGTTTTTATGTAATTTCTAAACAATTTTTAGCTTCTTTTTTTAAACTTTTTTTTTTAGCTTTAGCTTATAAGTAACTTCTAGCTTAAAAATAAGAAGATCCAAACATGCTAAGATAACTCTTTCATATAAAATGAGAGAATGATTTTCCATAAAATAATGTATATAAAATTTGGGAAAATATTTTTTTACATTGTAAGAAAATTATTTTCTCCTATCAATGATTCTTCGATTTATATATATATATATATATATATATATATATATATATATATATATATATATATATATTTTTTTTAACAAATATGAGCCTCCATAATATATTTTCTCTTATTATATAAGAAAATTGAAACCCCTAAAATATATACGATTAAATTTATATTTTTTAGGGGTAATATAACTCTTATGTTGCATAAGAGGATATAAAGCTTTCAATTTGCGAGCCTATTCTTTTTAGTTATTTTTTTTTTTACAAAAATGACGGAACCCATAAAGATATGTCTCTATAGAAAAATTCACTTGTCTTATGCTACTTCAGAAAACTAAACCCCATATTTTAATAGGAGATAATTATCTCATGTTGCATCAGATAATTATTTCAACAATAAAAAATAAAATAATGAGATCCACTATTTTTTTTTTTGAAAAGTAATAAATCTCTCTATATTATTTCTATTGTATCAGATAATTATCTCGTTTTTGGATAAATAGATCCTATTTTAATTGGTTATACCTATTATTCTGATTGAAGTTCTGCCTCCTCCAAGTCCTAACTATAAGTGTACAATTTATAAAAGAATGCTTTACAAGTAAAGACCTTACTACTATTTATGTACGGTCCTGGGGTAATATATGTTTTAGGTATATACCTATTAATAGTATTATATTATATATAATATAAGCTTATTTTCAAATAGCGTGTATAAACCGTGTATGACTAGGAGCTACAGCCTCCCCTGACCTAAATTCCGGGTTCTATATTCTAATACATGTTGTAGAATTTTGACCCTCTCTCTCTCTCTCTCTCATAATCATTTCAAAGCAACGCACCCACAAAAGCATTTTCTCTCTCCAACCGTTCTTATCTGAGTCAGGCAGGTACTATGCAGGGTCATCTATAAGTACGGCAGAATTTTTATTTTTATTTTTCTTTTTAAACTTTGGACTTTTTCAAGAACATTTCATTTTCAAAAGCTTCTGTTGTTCTCTTTTATTTTTTATTATTCTTTTTTTTGCCTCAAACCCACTTTCGAAATGAATTATTATATTTTATTTTATTTTTAGAATATTTGGAAAAAAAAAAGCTTGCGTCGTTTTTAATGAAATGGCCTCCCTTTTCGTACTGGCCGCACTTGAATCTGTCCTTCCTCATATAATCCTCCACCATATGTGTCATCTCTATTAGATGGAGAAAGGCACTCATTTTAAATTACTATTATGCCCTCGTCTTTTCTATTTATTAATCCCGTCCTTACCTGTCCTTCTCCGTACGGATTACTTTGTCACTCTATAAGACGAAAATACCCTCGTCTTTATTTCCTCATACCTAACCCGGCCATGTAATAGAAATTCAGCCATTTCCATTTTTTATCTTACGAGAAATATCATATGTATATTTCTGCTCGCAACAATTTCTTTTATAACTTTTCTCTTTTATGATATGCGTTTTGTTAAATAAAAGAAACAAATTAGAAAATGATTGAATATCCAATCAAACCATTTATGGGAAAAATATTTATGTTTTTAAAGGATATAGAATTATATCATTTCAAATAGCAAAAGACATAAATTAATATTTTTTATTAAAATTTAAATTAAAAAATCATCCACTTTCTTTTTCAATAACTTTTATTTCTTGATTTTTTTTCCACTTAAAATAATATAACTTTATATCTTTAAAAAAGAACTAACATCAAACTCAAGTTTAATATATAAAAACTCTCACGAAAGCACTAAAATATTAAAAAAATATATTAGTTTTGGTTGTGAATAAACGCATGGAGATGTGTTTGCCAGCAGCTCTTGAACGTTAGCTAAGGGCAAAAGTGTGTTTCCTTTTGTCCTAAAGGTGAAATAAACAGTAAAATAATAAAAATTAAGCTTCACGGTTAAGCTAACTAAAAGTTGAATATTTTCATGCCGACAAAAATTGACTCTATTTTATGAAAAAAAAGTTTCACTTTTAACTCTGTCCTTAGAATTATATATATAATCGAAGAAATATCTTACTTTCATATAAGAACAAGAATTCATACATGATACACTCATTACTTACAGTTAATTGCATTATCATCTAATAATTTTAATTTACCGAAAAAAAGAGTTTACATAAATCATTTAATGTAAGAAAAATTAAGGATTAATAATTTTAATATAAGTTGATCACTATCTATATATACATTACTCTAAATCTTAACTGTTGTTTTTATTTATATTTAATGGATTTAATCTATTAGTTTAAGATTAAAAATATTTCTTTTATATATATATATATATAACAATTATTTTTTATGACAATTATTTTTTCTATTAATTACTCATGATATAAGTGGATCACATTTTAATTTTTTTTACTATTTTATAAATTTTATTTATGCCATGAGTAATTAGTAGAAAAATATTTTCTCTTTTAAATTCTTTAAGAAAAACCTTTGGTTACAAATCATTTAAAATAAAAAATAAGATAAGGAAACATATATTTATTAAATTTTCATATCCTTACCTAACTTTTGTAATTGCGGAAGAGAGAGAGGAGGGTATTATTGTCTTTCCGCAAATGGATACAAACACAAAGGCACCAACTCTATAAAGAAGACAAGGATGGCAGTTTCGTCCTTCTGTACCTTCCTCATCATCTTCCTCAGTACCTTCTCTCTCTCTTCAACTTCCCAAAACCCAAAGCTTCAATAAATCTCGTGTTAACGGTTACACTCCAAACCAAAACCAAAACCAACACCACCACCACCTCTTCCTCTTCCATTTTCCTTTCATTTTCTCTCCATCTTCAACATGAAGAAGCAGAAGTGCGTCGAAACGCAGCGTTCGAACTCAAACCCGAACCCGTTCGACGTTATATCGGAGGAACTCATATTCACAATCCTGGACTTTCTAGATTCGGACCCACTCGACAAGAAGTCATTCTCGTTAACGTGCAAGTGGTTCTATTCCGTTGAGGCGAAGCACCGAAGAGTCCTGAGGCCGTTACGGGCAGAGCACCTGCCCGCGATCGTTGCCCGCTACCCGTTAGTTACGGACCTCGATCTCACGCTCTGTCCGCGCGTGGGCGACGGGTCACTCGCCCTTCTCGCTGGAGCGTACAGGGACACGCTGCGGAGGCTGGACCTGTCGAGGTCCAAGTTCTTCACCGGGAGTGGGCTTTTGGGCTTGGGCCTGAGTTGCTGCAACCTGGTGGAGCTGGATTTGTCGAACGCGACGGAGCTGAGGGACGCGGCGGCGGCCGCGGTGGCGAAAGCGAGTAATCTCGAGAAGCTGTGGCTTGCGAGGTGTAAGTATATTACGGATATGGGGATTGGGTGCATCGCGGTTGGGTGCAGGAAGTTGAAGTTGATTTCATTGAAGTGGTGTTTGGGTGTTGGAGATTTGGGTGTTGATTTGCTTGCTATCAAGTGTAAAGAGCTTCGTTCTTTGGATCTCTCTTATTTGCCTGTGAGTTTTCTTCTTCTTCTCTATTTTTGTTTTTTGATGATGCATTTCATTTGTTTCTCCCTTTGTCTTTTGTGGATTTAGATTTTTTTTTCTCTGTTTTTTTTTAATTATTAATGTTATGCTATATGTCAATTTTTTTCTTTCTAATTTATACTTTCATTCATTCTAAATTAAGAGTTTGTGATTGTAATTGCTGGGTTGAATTTGTGTATTGAGTTGATTTTATGCTGTGTTTTCGTACGTAATATTTCCAAATTAAGAGTATTTTTTATTTACTTTTTGTTTGGTGAGGAGATTAGAAAGGATTAGTATTTAAAAAAGGGAAATAATTAATTATTGGATGATTTAATTTATGTTCTACTTCGTGGTTTCCTAGAACGAAGTGGCGTGTCTTGGATTTATTGGTTTATTTATTAAGCAGAAATAGTTTGATACCATCCTTAGTTAGAGGTTTTTGGCTTGTTCTTTTTTTGAAGTTAAGTTAATTTAGTGTTTTTCTTCTTGATTTTCATCATGTCTTTGAAATGATCTGGTTGATGTATTAAATAGTAGGGTATTGGTTTCTTGTGTTGTGCAGATCACTGAGAAATGTCTCTCGTCAATCTTCAAATTGCAACATCTTGAAGATTTGGTCCTCGAAGGATGCTATGGCATTGATGATGACAGCCTCGTTGATGATGTCTTCAAACAAGGGTGCAAGACAATGAAGGTATATGGGGATGGTTTAACTTGTCCATCTCTGTTTATTGTTTATTCACTAATGACAGATATAGCCCAATTAGACTGTCATTATTCAATATAAAAATCAGGCTGGAGCTGGACAACATCGATGTTAACTTAGAAATGATAAACCAATTGTTTTTTTTTTTTTTTTTTTACTTTTAGGTTGAGTATTACCATTGTTAGCAGTATTATATCCCCCCCCCCCCCCCACACCACCTTTTTGTTCTCTCATTTATTTTCACTTTCAATGCATTACTTATGCAGTTATTTCACTTATTTTTAACATTTGATTGCATCAATGAATATATTTTTCGTTTTTGTTGCTTTCAGAGCGTACTTTTTTTCGTGATCTAACTTGTTATTTGACAAATTCACTGCCTTCCACAGAAACTTGATATCTCAAGTTGTCAAAACATAAGCCACATCGGTCTGTCAAAACTAACAACAATTTCGGGAGGCATTGAGCAACTCGTATTAGCTGATGGTTCTCCTGTAAGTCTTCTGTCTTTGTAATTTTTTTTATTTTTTTGTCTTTCAACTTGAGGATGAGGATTTAAATCATAACTATTGTTGGCATTTGATTATCCAGGTGACTCTTGCTTTTGCTGATGGTTTGAATAAACTTTCCATGTTGCAATCAATCATATTGGATGGCTGCCTTGTTACTTCTGATGGATTAAGGGCCATTGGAAATTTGTGCATTTCACTCAGGGAGCTGAGTCTAAGGAAGTGTTTGGGAGTGACAGATGAAGCTCTCTCGTTCCTTGTGTCAAAACACAAAGATTTAAGGAAGCTTGACATCACATGCTGCCGCAAGATAACTAATGTTTCCATTGCCAGCATTGCTAATTCATGCATAAGTCTCACTTCTCTCAAAATGGAGTCATGTACTCTAGTTCCACGAGAAGCATTTATCTTGATTGGTCAGAAATGCCATTATCTTGAGGAGCTTGACCTAACAGATAATGAAATTGATGACGAAGGTTTACCTCTGTTCCTACTTTGGAAATATTAACTACCATATCAGCTGCTATACTAAGTTACTAACCTTCTCTTTCTGCAGGTCTTAAGTCCATTTCTCGTTGTTCCAGGCTCTCCATCCTGAAAGCAGGAATCTGCCTGAGCATCACTGACATAGGACTTGCCTATGTTGGCATGGGTTGCTCAAAGTTAAAGGAGCTGGATCTATACAGGTTTGTGATTCAATTCTATATGAGCCTTTACTTTTCTTGTCATCAGATTAATAATCTGTGTATTATTTTAATTTCCTTTTTAGCATAAACAATAATTGAATCAGGTTGAGTTTTTAAGTTATAAAAAATTGGGATATAATTTGCCTCATTAGTTAGTATTGATGTATAAGCATTTGATATATTTAATTCATATGGAAACTGGCTTTGATAAAATTAGGATGTTGCTCGTTGATTGAGCCTAAAACCAGTCTCAGACCTAGCCCGTCTAGAGCAGCTCAACATTTTTGCCCATCCCTTATAAAATTGCAAGTATGCCACGAAGATCCTATGATTTATGCTGTTAACATACAGATCATTGTCTGTTGTCACCAAAGATTATTTTCTTTTCTCAGGTCTACAGGAGTAACAGATTTGGGAATTTCAGCAATTGCTCGTGGTTGCCCTGGCCTTGAGATGATAAATACATCTTATTGTACTAGCATCACTGATAGTACATTAATGTCCTTGTCTAAATGTCCAAATTTGAAGACACTCGAAATTCGTGGATGTCTTCTTGTTACATCTATAGGTCTGGCCGCAATTGCTATGAATTGCAAACAACTAAGACGTCTGGACATAAAGAAGTGCTACAACATTGATGATAGTGGGATGATTCCACTAGCTCATTTCTCCCAAAATCTAAGACAGGTATTTTCCTGATTTATCACTTTTCTGGGTAACATAAGAGATGCTAGAAAGCTTTGCTAAGATTCTGATGTTATTATTATGTCTTTTGCCTGCTTTGCAGATAAATTTGTCATATAGCTCAATTACAGATGTGGGGCTTCTATCACTTGCTAGTATCAGCTGCCTTCAAAGCTTTACCATGCTTCACCTGCAGGGCTTGGTTCCAGGAGGACTGGCTGCAGCCTTATTGGCATGTGGAGGGCTAACAAAAGTGAAGCTCCATCTTTCACTAAGATCTCTGTTACCTGAGATGCTTATCAAACATGTAGAAGCCCGTGGCTGTGTATTTGAATGGAGAGATAAAGTCTTTCAGGTATAATCATATTCATCTCTGGTTCCTATCTAAAGATTTATCGAAATACTAACTAATTTTGTAATCATGTTAGTCTACTTCCCTATGTTCTAAAGGAACAATTATTTGTTTAAGAAGTATATCCGTAGATTGAAATTTTAAAAATTCAGTAGTTTCTAAACTCTAATTCATCATACTGGAATTGAAGGATGGAAGATCTGAGGTTGTATTGTTGTATTGTTATTAGTATTTTTTTATTTAATCACTGAGGTTCTTCTTGTCTTATGGACAGGCTGAATTGGACCCGAAATGTTGGAAATTACAGATGGAAGATCTGATGCAATAGGATGATTTTCTCATGTTATTTGAAGTTGATAAAGACAATGTGCACATGGCATACGAGTTAGTGAAGAATCTCGCGTGTCTAGGATAACGCATCCACTTCTCGCTACCCTGTCCACCCACCTACACTTGAGGGGAAAAAAACAAGAAAGCAAGAAACCAACCAAAAAACAAAAAAATCACTCCTCGTTAAACTTGACTAGGGAGTGTAGGGTGGAAGTAATCCTTGTATGCAGCCTTACCTTTGCATAATTGCAAATAGGTTGTTTCCTGGATTCGAATCCATAACCTTTTAGTTATAAAAGAATAGTTTTACCACTACTTCGGTTCGTCCTCTTTAAGAAACCAACCAAAAAACAGAAATTAAAATCATTTCCGCTTAAATCCGGACTACCCAGAAAGAAAGAAAGTAGTATAGAGTATATTTGAAGTATTCTGTTTAGTCCATTGGAACAGGCCCTGGGATGGAGGTAACAAATTACCCTTCCATGGACACCCATGACCCAACTAGTTAGTTTTGGATTCTATCACAACTCACAAGTAATTATCTTGTCCTTAGTAGATTGCTGAAGCAGAGGCAAACGCCAGTCCTTAATTTTTGTTTCGGCTGTGAAAGCAAGGGCAATCAAGTGTATAAAAACTCTGTAACCTCTTTTTTTTATTTTTTTTTGGAGGGGTCCAGTTGGAACCGTTCAGAGATATCAAGAATCGGGGGCGATCAAGTGTATAAAAACTTTGCAACCTCTTTTCATTTTTTATTTTTATTTTTTAATATCTGGAGTTCCTGTGAAAACCAAGGGTAATCAAGTGTATAAAGCTTTGTAACCTCTTCTGCTTTTCTTTTAAATCCAACTGGATCTGTTTAGAGACATCAAGAATGGACGATGTTTCAAATATTCTGGCAAATCTTATTGATGTGATTTTGTGGACTAAATTTCCTGCCTAACTTTTGATGCGCACAATGAGATCATCCCTTTTATTGGATGTGGGCGCTAGCATTTCCTTCCCCAAAGTATCGCCCTTGGTAACTGGATTATTCTTTTCATGTGCTGGCTAAGAGGTTGTTCAAGGTACAAAGAGTTTATTTTAAGACTGGTTTCCGTTTTCATAAAGTATGTTTATGGTAAGTGTGCTTATTTAAAGTAAAATAAAGTTATTTTACCTATTTGAATATATATATATATATATATATATATATATATATATATATATATATATATATAGTTGAAGGACTTTGCATTTATCATACAGTAAGAGAGGAGAAATGATTTATGAGACAACTCAAGTTAGTCTCACTGATTTTTAAAAAATAAAAAATAGAATTATGCATTTTTTGATTTGAGGAGAACATTTTCCTATAAAGAAGTCATTTTGCCGTAGCTTAAACTTTAAAAGTAAAGCATAACTTATTTGTAGTTTATCGTAATGAATTTCAGCCTTTTTTATGAGATAAGAATCATTTGCTTTGTGTAACAAAAATAGGTGTATTATTATTTTTGGTACAAATAAAAATAGTAAAAATAAAGTTTAACTTTATTTACTCTTAACATAATTTTAATTTCTCCTGTAAGGCATAAATGCAAGTTAAAAACATATATTTTTTAGCTTATTCTTCAAACTTTAGACGATTTTTTTTTTGGTAAATAAAACTTTGGACGATTTTAATATTGGATTCGTCGACTCTTCTTAGAAGAAGAGAATTAGAGAAGTGTTACAGACACACATGGTGGAGCTGGAGCCCATCACTTATAAAAAAATAAATAAAAGAAATATTCCAATTCCAAACGCAGCGTAAAGTCATAACACTCATTAGTCATAACCAAAGAACTCAGGTCCCACAGGGAGTCGAACCAAGGTCGCTGGGTTCAATGTCCAGAGTGCTAACAACTACACCTTGGAACCGAGCACGGGCTTAAAATTTTACCAAATCAAAATATTACTGTTCATATTAATTTTGCCACATGTTTATAAAAAATTATAAAAAGAAAGAAAGAAAAGGCTCTAATTTTAAATAATGGTTCATAGTAAAGCTAATAATTCATTCCAATTTCTAACAACTTCTATTCGTTTCTTTGATAAACAAATATTTCAACTATCAGCACCCCTTTATATTAGATAGTACCCACACTCAGTTAAACATGAAATAAATTGCTTGTATAGTTGTAATTTTCATTTTTATCCTGTCAATAATTATTATGTCTTTAGGGAGTGTTTGGTATAGGAGAATTTTTTTTTAATCAGGTAAATATTATTAGTAGGAAAATAGTTGTAAACTAAGATAACTGAGAAAATTTGAAAAATATTGTTTAGTAGACCGAAATATTACCAGAAAATTATGTTAAATTTACTAAGACTATGTTTCGTTGAAAGTAAAAGATTGATTGAAAAATAAGACAAAATTTCGAAAATACACCCAAATATTTAGAGAAGAGAGGTATATGGACAGGGACATTTTAGATAACAAAGTTGGTGTCAAAAATACCACTTTCCTAGTTTTCTCCGGATATCACCTCGAATGTGGTCTTCCAAAATAGTGAAAAAGGAGACTATTTTACACAGATTTCAGCTTTTGATGAAAAAACACAATGTCCTGATTTATTTATGAAACTTCTCTACCAAACATGTCATTCTCCACTTCCCAATCTTACTTATTCATCTATCCCTTTAAAACCACCTATCAAACACCCTCTTAATTTTGATCCTCTAAAGCAATTCAAAAAACGGCTTAACACCTCTCCTGCAAGATTTCCTGCATAGAGAGTAGAGTGTTTTGTGTGGCCCACAAGTTTAAACAAAATAAAATAAAATAAATGAAAACGCGGAATTTGAATTGACATAGCAAGAAAAATACAGTTCTAGAAGTATATTTCCCTTAAAAGAAATGAATCAAACTAAATACCCACTGAAAAACCGTAAACGGACCAATAAGTAAATTAGTGAGAGAGACATAAGTAGTTTGACATGAGAGAAATTCTCAACTTCTCTGACAGTCAAAGATGAAGATTCTTAAGCATTCTTTTATTTTTAAATAAGGAAAAATTACTCTTATGTTACATGTGATAAATTTCTCTCTTACACACTCTTCGATAATTACGTCACTTTTTTCTTTTTTCTTTTTCTTTTCAGATGGTGGAGCCCACAAATTTATCTCTATGACGTGAGATAACTTATCTCCTTTAACATGAGATTAATAAAACTCTTTTAAATATACAATTACAAGTGTATCATTTTAAATATAATTGGTTATTATCATTTTTCACACGGTAAAAGTAGATAATATATTAGGGATCTATCACCAGGCCTACTTCATAATAAAAGTAGATAATCTCGTCCATCATAAAATAGAACGTAATCAAACATTAAAAAAATCAATTTAAAATGTAGACTATAATTTTATTTTTTTTTACAAAATCTGATCTATAAATTTACAGGTTAGCTTATATTATATTATTTATTTTAAATAAAATAAATAACATTATTAATTAAAAAATTTAAATTAAAAATAATATTATTTTAATTATTTTTTTAATTCTTAAAAGTCAAATAAACTTAAATAGACCTAAGACAGTCCTTTTATTTTTTAAATAGAAACCGAACTAGACTTATAATTTAACTTAACCCATGCTAACAAATCAAGTGAGGCTTAAAATATTTTTCACATGCCCTGTCTAAGCAAAAAATTGGCCTAACATAACTCATTCACAGTCCTATTAATAGTTTTAAGTAGTAAAAAAACTAATTCTTTTTTATTAGAGTTCGAGTTTAAAAGTAAAAAATAAAATAAAAATTGGAAAAAGCACCCATACATGAATATGACAGAACACAAAATTAATGAAGAAATAATAAAAAATAAAATAAAAGAACTTAACAATTTCTATTGCGAAAAAAATGATGCCACCTAATGAGACACATGGCTACACAAAGAACGCCATCTAATAACAAATGGCATCCTCTGGTCCTTTCAGCCGCCAATATTTCATCTCTTTTCTCTGGACTCAGTGTTATGTATCATAGGGTAGCCCAGTCAAAGTCAAACCTACAACCTTTGACCCATTTTGGTTTTCCACGGTCAAACATCAAACTTTTAGCTTCTCAGAAGTAGCTACCATACACATATATAAAGGTGCTGTGCATGCCACTCCATAATAATATGCATCATTTCCACTCTTCTTTCTCCCTAAATTCAAACCCAAGTATTGTTTTTTTCTTTTTCTTTTTTTTTTCTCACACAAAGCACCTACATCAACATGTCTTTCGGTTTCACTGACCTTTCCAATAACAACAATAACATGTCCTTTGATGATAAATGGGGAACTTCTCAACGTAAAACTGATGATCATTTTGGACTTGAAGTTCAACCTTCTTCAACTTACCCTTCTTATTCTGATTTTCCTCCTGGTTTTAGCCCAACTGAGTTATTCAATTCACCTTTGTTTCTTTCTTCTCCAAATGTAAGTTATAAACTCGCTTACACTTGCTTATATTTTTATGTTTTTGTCTTTTTGTAACACTCCTATGTCATGTTTTGAATCATCACTAATTGTGGGGTTTTCTTGTTTTCTATGTTGGTTTAGGTTCCTGCATCTTACACCACTGATCCTTCTTCTGGCCAGTACTTCAACCGAAGAAACAGTTCAACTGAGGACCAACAATGTAACATGGTGGAAGAGAAAGATTACTCTGACCTCTCTTTCCAAATCGAAACAAAGCATGTGCCTCTCTTTCAATCTTCCACAAGCATGTTTCAAGAAGTAAGTTGCATTTTCTTTGATCAGTAATTTGACTTGAACAAAAATAACAAAGGGCAAGGCAACCACAAGTAACAACCTTACTGCTTCAAAGCTTGCCTTATTAATTTGACTTGAAGAAAGCATCATTTTTGGTTGTGTCTGTTTTCTCGGTTGTTTATTTGATCATTAAGGGATAAGGACACTCGTAGACTAGACCATTTCTTGTTCTATCTACTTGACTTACTTGGACAAGTTTGTTTTATTAGCATCTACTCTTTCCTGTTTGTGGGGTAGTTTGTCATAAACTTGCTTTTAATGTTTTTTAAATTGTCGTGTTCTTTAGTGCTTTACTTATTTTTTTAATGAATTAAGTACTAGTTTTTTTTTTTTATTAGTTTTAACAATTCAAAACTTGACTATCCTTATCTAAGTTGACAAAATCAAACTTACATATATGATTTGTGCCATTCAATATTAGCCTTATAAATTTTGTAGGTCCATTGTTGTCTGCTTAAACAAAACATTTTTAAAGGTTACATGGCTAACATTAAATGGCATTGAAGTTGCTTACCACCTAAGAATTTATCTGTATGTTTCTATGTTTTCAGTCTTGACAAACTGTAAATTTCATTGTAATGGTTATCAAACAGCATAGTCACAATAAACAAGGTGTGATTTATTGATGCTTTGGAAAATGCTAATCTTGGCATTTTTAGATTTGTTTATTTAACACTTGTTATAATTGAACAGCAGGAGCTAGTAAAGAAACAGGACACATTGGTATTCAATGAAGCTGCAAAGCAAATTGATTTTTCATCTGAGAGGAAAGCAACCAAATCTGAATATCCATCCACTCAGCACTTATTCTCAGAAATGAGCACAACCAAACCTGAAATACAAAGTAATTATTCAGCTTCTGGGTCTGGTTACTTTAACAACACTAATGCTTCTATTAGAGAACAAAGGAGAACAGAAGATGGGTACAAATGGAGGAAATATGGAGAGAAACAAGTTAAAGGAAGTGAAAATCCACGCAGTTATTACAAGTGCACACATCCAAATTGCTCAACTAAGAAGAAAGTTGAGAGGACTTTGGATGGACATATTACTGAAATTATATACAAGGGAAGTCATAGCCATCCTAAGCCCCAGTCTACTAGAAGAACAAGTTCTCAATCAATTCTTCAATCTTCTTCATCATGCAACAACTCAGGGATTTCTGATCAATCTTTGGGAGAAGAAGACTTTGAGCATTCATCACAAACGAGTTATTCTGGAGGGGATGACAATGACCTTGGACCAGAGGCCAAAAGAAGGTAATATAAGAAAACTACACTTACTCTATTATTGTAATAGCATGTTTTGTTATTGTTAAAATGAAACTGCATGGTGAATTTTGTTTTTATATAACAAATTATGGTTCTGATTATTGCAGGAAGGAAGGGAATGAAAATGATGGCTATTCCTATTCCTGTGGAATAGGAACTGTTAAGGAACCTAGAGTTGTGGTTCAAACTACAAGCGAAATTGATATACTTGACGATGGCTATAGGTGGAGAAAATATGGACAGAAAATAGTTAAAGGGAACCCAAATCCAAGGTATTTAACTGATGGAAACAAAGACCCTCTAGTTATATGGTTCTTAGTGTTACAATTCCTGTTATTAGCAGTAAAGATATATACATAAAAATCATTAATGTGACCTTCACTTAATGGTTTAAGTTTTTAGGTTGAATTGATTTTTTTTTTTAAAGTAATTTAAAACTAGCACAAGGTAAACTAAAAAATAGACTTGTGCACTATTCACGCTTTAAGCACAAAGAGCTCTTTTTCTTAACGGAATATGTTAGATATTTAATATATAAAACCACTAATATAACCCTTTAGAGTTAAGTTGATTCTTTACAATTTCCAACCTACAATAAGACCATAAGTAACTCATTCAAAACATCCTTTGCAGGAGCTACTACAAATGCATAACCCAAGGTTGTCCAGTGAGAAAACATGTTGAGCGAGCTGCACATGATATGAAAGCTGTAATCACAACCTATGAAGGGAAACACAACCATGATGTTCCTATAGGACGAGGAAGTGCAAGTCAGAGCATGAACAAAACTTCGATGAACAGCAACACTAGTAATGTAACTATCCCCACCCCTATAAGGCCTTCAGTGGTGACTAATTGTTCTGGCTCAACAACTTTCACAAATTCACTTCATGGTACAAAGATACCAACATCTGGAAGTCAAGAACCTTTTCCACTGGACTTGCTACTGAGCCCTGGAAGCTTTGGATATTCAGCTTTGGATAGATCAATGAGTTCATATACCAATCCTGAACAATACTCAGATGCAGCAAACTTGGCTAAGGATGACTCATTCCTTCAGTCTTTTCTGTCAAAGAACTTTTAATTTTGGAATTAGAACGTTCCACTTATTATCATAGATTTGTTTTTGGAGGAATTTAGTTATTCATTTCAGAATAGAATAGAAAAAATAAATAATGGGCATGTACTTATTTATCTCACTAAGATTAGACAGTAGAACCATAGCAATATAAAGCTTGATAGGAGTTGAGACTTATTCTAACTTCAATTTAATGATAGGAGACACAGAAAAGGAGTTGACCTCTGAATTCTATCATTCTTATGTTGTATTTATTTCACACGAAAAAAGGAAAGTTTCTTTTGTGCAAGCGATTTCTACTATATGCTCTGTTACAGATTATGGTTACTTTGATCGTGTCACTTCAATTTTTTCAGTCAAAGTTTCACATTATGAAAAAGATATGAAATGGTCAGCGACTTCTGTGAAATTTGACAGACTCAAAGAGGGTCCAAGATTGAAATTATTATTATTTGAACAAAGTGAACATTTTTTATCACTATATTGGGAGAATATTATAGTAATCAACTTATATTATTAAAAGAAAAAGAATTAACGTTTGCTCCTTTCGATCACTCTACAATTGTACATTCGCTGTGTGTTGTTTTCAGCTAAATTCGTCATTAAAGAAAAAAAATAGTATTCAAATTATATTAAAAAAATAAAGTAAAAAAATAATCCAGTTCTAATGTTTGCTTCTTTCAGTAACTCTAGAATCATGCATCCACCACTGTATTGTTTTCTGTCAAATTCATCACTACAAAAAAAGTATCAACACTATGAACATAGTTTCAAGTAGAAAAAAGCTATTTGTATTCTTGTATGAAATAAGTAGTCTCATATCCCATATCTCACTGTAACATATGCACACACTTAAAAGGATGGGGGATTCTTATACTCACTTCCTTACACAAATTATATAAATGTATTTTGTACAGCAATGAATGGAAGTATGAAACATGATAGGAGAAACTTCTGTGGAAGTTCAGATATAAGTTTGAGATGATAGTTTGTGTCCTGATATGATGGCTGATAGCGCTAGACACAAAAAGGCAAAAAAGGACATGCTAATGGCTGCAGCTGAAGTGTCTGTAAATATATTATCTGCCCCTTCCCTCATGCTATCCGTTATTGGAATCGCTGAAGAAGCTGATGATATCAAGAAATATGCCACAACCTGAAACCAAAAAATCTGTCATTCATGCTTATCTCAATCTGCTAACATTTCATAATCTAACAAAAGACAACTTTGAAGCCAATGATATGGCTCTAAATACTGTCCTGGCCTAGCTACAATGAACAATTTGGTCTCATGCTTTGAATAATACACCATGCGTTAACCACGATAAATTTGTGTCTCCATTCTTTCTTCCCTCCTCTCTTTTCTATTTAGCAATTCTGTGTGTGATTGTTTGGTCATCTCCCATATAAATACAATTCCTAGTGCATGATCCATCTCAGGTCAAACAAGACTAAATTTGATTCCTCACCCCCTCACCATTCAGAGATCCAGAGTTGGATTAAGAAACAAAGCACTATAAAAGTCAACGTTCAGAGAAGAAGGAAAGTCAAACCTGATCTCCAACAAAATCAATCAACGCTACTGTTCTTAACTGAAGCAAGTTTTTCCCCGTGGAAAGTTCATGAGCTTGACGAAACACTTGTCCTCCAGTGTACAAAATGGATAGAATTGCTATGGCCAGCAAATACCTATTATGTTCCAAAAAATTCCAATTCAAGTTTAATCTCAACACCCCAAAGAACAAAATCAAATTTTGACAAAAACCCATGAATCTTCAGCCAAATTCCTCCCAAACCCACATCACAATTATGATCAAATTCACAAAGGAGTTTCTGATTCATACCTGTATTCTTCATACTTGTCGAATTCTCTCCAATCGCCATGGTTGTTGCTAACAATGAGAATGAAGGAAATTAAAGAGAAAAACAAAGCAATTCCTCTCAACCATAACGATCCTCTCTTGAGCAAATCTTCCATCTTCCACCGCCGTAGGATGCCCGCGTTTGCGCCGGAAGTTCCCGGCTCGTGGTAGTCCACAGTTGGCGCAGATGGCTCAGGTTTCACGTCTATCTTCATATCTGAACCGTTTGAAACCGTCATCTATATATGTCTGATTTTATATGACACGATTTTGGATTCACAGGTTTCAGATTTAGATAGTAACGAATTGATAAATGTAAACAAAAATGGTGAAGAAGAAACCGAGGACTATTAACTATAGTCAAGACAAAGACAAAGAGACACGCAAAGTTTGTTGTGTGCGTCATAAGTTTTCATTTTGAAACCGGTTTTATGGTTGTTGTGTTGGCGATCGTTTTGAAACTGGGTTATGAGCCATTAGGAGAGCACGTGAACTACACAAAATGTTCATGACGTGGCGGAAGAATATGTTGAAAAGAGATAAACATGAGAAAAAGAAGTCAAGCATTTTTTATTATTAAATTTCGAGAACATTGTAGAAATTGGCCTTTTGACTATATTAGTTCAAAATATAAAAAGTTGTACAAGTCCCGTCAAAGTTATTACCATACTAATGCAAAGCGACACGCGTTACATTTAGGTCTGTGTTTGCCTTGCATAGTCGCGGCCCTTGTCATACTGTGTTTAAGGTGTATGCAAAAGTATCTAAAAATATGAAATTTAAATATTTGTACCCTGTCGAAATAAGGAACCACGGTATATATGTTAGAAATAGATTCCATTTTGAGAGAGTTGAAAAAGCACTATCTCGTTGAAAGACAATGAAGACGGCACTTGTCCTACCGCGTTTAAGGAGAATGATCAAGTGTCAGAGAGCAGAGCCAGAATCACGGCTCTGAACCATACGCTTATAGACGCGACGCGATACTTATAGTGCCGTTTCTATGTATTATATATATATATTCTCTCATATTTCATTCTGTCCATATATCTCTCTCTGTTTCAATTTATATCACTGTTTATGTATCTCTCATTTTACCAGTTTTAAATTGTATCCCAACTTCAAAAAGATTTACATCGGTTTGAATTTCGGTCTCGGTGTACAAAATTTGCACCACTAGGACTTCATTTCTTCAAGCTATTTTTGCACCACCTGTGTTTCATTCTCATTCCAAGTAAGTATAATTTTAAATATTTTTTTATTTGTTTGGTTAACTTAGGATAGTCCAAAAAGATTAGCATGTTATAGATTTAAAGTATTAAAGGATTTATTAAAATCTTAGGTTAGTGGCCTTAAATTTTATTACTATTATTATTTAGTTTTTAAAGTTTGTATATTTATACTATTAAAATCTTAGGTTAGTGGCCTTAAATTTGACGGGTTAACGAATTGACCCGTCAGTTTCAACCTATATTGTCACCTCTAGATAGATGTGTTGCGAATAGTTATGATGGACCAGACAAAATGTAAAAATAAATTAACAATTAAATAATTACATTAAAATTATTAATCGTAGGTTATTAATAAATTATATTATTAAAATCTAGATATACAACCTTTAAAAACTAAATAGTTACATTAATAAATTTTAAGTCCGGTTTTAGTAATATAAATATCACATTAATAAAATTTCAAGTCAATAACCTAAGATTTTAATAGTATAAATATACAAACTTTAAAAACTAATTGATAATAGTAATAAAATTTAAGGCCACTAACCTAAGATTTTAATAAATCCTTTAATATTTTAAATCTATAACATGCTAATCTTTTTGGACTATCCTAAGTTAACCAAATAAATAAATAAATATTTAAAATTATACTTACTTGGAATGAGAATGAAACACAAGTGGTGCAAAAATAGCTTGAAGAAATGAAGTCCTAGTGGTGCAAATCTTGTACACCGAGACCGAAATTCAAACCGATGTAAGTTTTCAAGTTGGGATACAATTTAAAACTGGTGAAATGAGAGATACATAAACAAAGATATAAATTGAAACAGAGAGAGATATATGGACAGAATGAAATATGAGAGAAAAGTTTATCGCGTGGTATATATATAATGGGTTTCCATTCTATCATTTAACATGACCACAAAAAATTTCCTACACACACAACATTTTGTGGGGCCCGCATGTTTTAAAAAAAAAACTCTGGCAAGCAAAACGAATCTCTATAACATACACAATCACTTTTCCTACAACATAACTATTATAAAACCCATATATAATACATAGAAGCGACACTATAAGTATCGCGTCTATAAGCGTAATAGATACCTTAAACGGCACATGGTCATTTTCCTTAAACGCGGTAGGACAAGCGCCTACTTCATTGTCTATAGATACCTTAAACACGGTAGGACAAGGGTCGCGTCTATGCAAGGCAAACACGGACCTGAATATAACGTGTCGCTTTGTATTAGCATGGTAATAACTTTGACCAAGAACTTGATCTGGTACAACATTTTATATTTTGAACTAATATAGTCAAAGGGTCGTAGGAATTAACTTATATTATTAAATAAAGAATCAATATTTTTTTTTTTATTATCATCCAACTTGACTAGTCCTTCGAGGCTGATATATTCAATGTTGTCAAAATTAAATTTTTACGGAGAAATAAAAAGAGATGGTAGAAACTTAAATTATAAAAACGACACAAAACTAAAGCTTCTATTACTTAAGGTCAAGATATAAAATTATATATATATAAAATATCACATAAATCACAATTCAAAATTTAATGAACAACTTCATATGTAAAAAATATAAGTCACATAATTATATACGACATAAGTTCAAAAACACAAAAAGAATTTAACAATTCGTAAAACCAAATTCCAAAACATTAAAAGAATAAAGTTTAACAACTCCTAAACTATATCAATTGATTCAAATCAAACACATCATCTTGCATCAGTTGCATGTCCTTAATATTCTTTTCTCTTTCTCCTATAACAAGTTCATTTGCAATAAAATATAATAGATTGATTCAAAACTCACTACTGCTTGGTATTCAAATTTTTCACCAGTGATTTCGCTTTCTTCTTTCACTGCAACAGTGACCTTGCGCGAGGGAAATAGTTTTTTTTTTTAAAAAAAAATTAAATAAAAAAAAGTTGCGTCGTGGGTTAAAAGTTGACTCAGTTCTTTTTTTTTTTGGTATAAGACCTGGTTCAGTTTTTTGGTGTAAGTAAAAATGTAGAAACTTGCGTTTCTACCATTTTTACGCGGTCTTTTTATCAGTTTTTACTAAGGAGAGTTTTTTACGTTTACATGCGTCACTTCAATAAAAACTTAATGTTTTTAAACTAGTTTTTGACAATAATAAGTACAACTATGTGGGCAACAAAACTCTTCCTATCAAATTTTAACGTAATTGCATTTTCAAAAACTCAAAATCATTAGCTAAATTGAAACAACCTTTTACGAGTATCGAACTGCTTGATGCTATATTAGCTTCTTTCAATTACTTTAGAAGAATCGAGTCCTAATTTTTGCTTCTTTCAATCACTCCAGAATTATGCATCCATGGACCATCAGTAAGGATAAAGTATCCACATAGTTTCAAGCCGAAAAAATTAGTTGTAATCCTAGGGTGTTTGGTATAAGCTATATAGCACCGACTCGACACGCGACACGTGACATGACACGACACGACACTCCGACACGTCAATCTTAAAAAAATATAAATTTCGACACATTCCGACACGTTTTAATATTAAATAATATTTTTAATTTATATAGTGTATATTTCATTTAATATTCAATAATTTAACAAAAAAATAAAACTAAACTAATAATATCCATCAATTTAACAAAAAAAAAATCATTTCCACAATACCATTATATTGATCTAAAGCAAAAATAGTAGCATATCCATACAAAAACATAAAACATGGAGATTATAGATTACCTTCATGGAACATTTTCATCTAGAATAACATTTGACTCCATCTTTGGCTCATCAAGTGAAAGAGTAGCAACTTCAAGAATTCCAACATCTTCAAATGTATCAAATGTATCTCCAGCAATGTCCCACATTCTATTATCCCCTTGTGTATATTGTGAAGTCTTTCTTGATAAGAGCCTAAGGTTGCTATGTATATAAATCAAGTCTTCAGCACGTTTTGGAGTCATCTTAGTCCTTTTTACAGAATGCACAAAAGAATAAATACTCCAATTGCGTTCATCACAGGATGAAGAATAAGGTTGTGCAACAAGTCGCAATGCTATCTTAATTTTAAGTTTTTATCCATGGTGATGTATATTTGATGAATTTCTTATGCTACTGCTTGTTATTATTATTATTATGTGCTCCTTGTTTCTGATGTATAGTCCATTGCTGAGGACAACGAAATTCTAAATCTGAAAATGAGGGAGCACTGCATATACAGTAGCAGCTGTGAGGATGAGTAAAGCTTCAAATTTTTTCAGATAAACAGGGAACCTTCTTTTAACTTCTCTTAATTTTAAATTTTTTTATTTTCTCCTCCTTATTTTATTTATTGATAATTATTAGATTATGCCAATGGAGAATTAGTCAGTAAAATTTATCTATGATGTGATGACTTAGGATATATTTTATTTTAATGAATAATCATTGATTGAGTTAGTATAAGAGTCAGCAAGAATAATAAAATTTCAGTATGAGTGATTGAGAAAGAACATAATTTACTGAACTGCACACGAATAGCCGTGAGGTTTTGAGCCTAAACAGAAAATTCTTTTTGGTGTGCACTTCACGGTTGAAAATACTTCTAGAACTTGCTTTGTTTCTCCTTGAAGTAGTTGTTTACATGCATGTTTGAAATGATTGAGGCATTTTTATTGTTTTAGCTACTTAGCCTAAAAAAGCCAACCATTATGATATCCCTTGTTTAGCCCTTTGAGCTAGGCCTTTTCTTTTCTTAATACCTGTTGTTTTAGTTAGCCACTCCACATACACATCTACCTTAAATAGGATTGGATTGTAGAAATTTCATGGTAGGATGTAAACATGAGTACTTTATCACGTAATTTTAAGTGGTGGAAAAAGAGGTTGGGTGAATTGAGCAAAAGCAAAAGATTTGAAAAATGGTGAAAAATATTTATTGCAAATAAAAATGTTGAAAAAGGAAAATGAAAAAAAGAAAAGTATTGGGTGTTGAAAAAGAAAAAGCACAGAAAAATAAAATAAAAAAATTACAAGTGCTGAAAAAGAAAAAGGAGAAAAGAATGAGAAAAGGATTATCTGTTAACTGTTTACACTTTACCATGATCTTTTTGTGTTCCAATGTTTTAACTAGTTTTCTCTTAATTATTCTTCCTTTATCCAAGCCCCATTACAACCCGGATAAAGACCTCTTGATCTTTTATGCATGTTA